ACACACACACACACACACACACACACACACACACACACACACACACACACACACACACACACACACGAACACTAGGGAAACTTATCAATGATGGTAATCTGAGAGCCTGCTTGCTGCTCGTATTGTTTTCAGACACAGAAGCAGCAGCTTGTTTCAGTGCAGCTGTGCTGTTTGTTACAGACGTTACACAAACAAACACTTCAAACTACTACAAATATTCAAAGACGCAACGCAAAAAACTAATAAACTAACAAAAATAACAAAAAACTAACAAAATGTGTTTAACGGGATGTGTTTGTTGTCGAGGAACATGCTAATCATGAAAACTGAAGTGGTGGGTTAGAATCTGATCATGATGCAGATATGAATGATTCTGAATCATTTTAAAAGGTCATAAATTGTTTGGTATTTGTTGCTAATACTGTCATGTTGAGGAGTGTAAAAGGTGGAAATATGGAGGAATTAGCAGTGCTGAACATTTAGCAGGGCTGTGTATTGAGAAGAATTTGATGATATGATACATAGCATTGCAGAAGGGTTACGATRCAATACATCATGATACATTGTGATACTGTAAGCAAAGTAATATATCGCGAACAGGAAGAACTGAAAAGGTGAAATTTCATTAGATTCTTTTTGTGAATTAAATCAAATGAACGTGTTTTGTATAGCCCACGGATGGATCCTAACTTGTGCTAAGACCCCATAAAAGGTCCACTTTAAGTTTGCTTGTTTAGCGTCGTCACAGTTGCTAGGTGACATGATGTACGCCGGGGTAAGGAGGGGAGGCTAGACCGTCCAAATCCACTGCCTCTTTTTTTCCGGTCTTCCCGGTCTACCAAGGACCCGGCCCGCCGAGACCGGGGAGTCTGGGTCCTCCGGAGGACCCGGCCTGTCGTTTTGGACACAGCCTATATCACAGATATTCAGTGGAAGGTCAGTATTTTTAAACAAAGCTTTAAGAAACTGAAAGTGTTAACTCGGTTGCTGAGCGCTGTACTTTTGGGATAGGGAAAAAGTACAGTATACCCTACTGTAACAAGGTATTGATAAAAAAAAAACAACATAAAGAAAGCCAGACATGTTGACAAATAATTATTTAACTGTAATGTGAAATAAGCCTAATAAATATGTACAAAGAGAATCAGCGTCAACTAATTTGGAGAGGAAAAACTGCAAAGAAGAGAAAAATACTGCTTGATAAATCCCTAAAACAGGTTTAAATAGAAAATTACAAATTCCCCAAAAATGCTGACAGAGCACTGTGTGAATCTGTCAGCCAGAGTCATGGCCTGCTATGGATATCCTTCAACTGCTGACTATTCATACGTCAGTCCAGATCAGGCCATTGGTGGTCACCAGGAAACTAATCCAGATGTATGTGTTGTAGGCCCAGTCAGCACTCCCCACCCAGGGGGACAGAGGGTTTTAAGCTGTGCCAACCATTGTGTTGCTCTTCCAGTAACCACACTTGTACGCAACTTGTAGCCTTCCTATATGGCCGGCGCTTCTTCTGCCCTGGCATGGTTTCAAAGGCGAGGACAGAGGGGATCAAAGCAGCTTTACAGTCTGAAATCTGCTAAACAAATTAGAACAGGAGCTCTGTGCATGTTCCCTCAGGGAGTGATCCAGATGGTTTGCTCTCTCTGACTCACCCGCTTCGGATGTTATCATCCATGAAATGGACGTTATTAGGCGTTATCAGTCCCATAGAATGGCTTCAGAAGGTCCCACCTGTGCCTCTTAGCAGGTTCCCCGTCCTATAGAATGGCTTCTCATTGTCAGCTGGTTAATATGAGACATAAAACTACTATCTGGTTAATATGAGGCATAAAACCACTATCTGGTTAATATGAGGCATAAAAAATCAGGTTAATATGAGACATAAAACCACTATCTGGTTAATATGAGACATAAAACTACTATCTGGTTAATATGAGGCATAAAACCACTATCTGCTTAATATGAGACATAAAACCACTATCTGGTTAATATGAGGCATTAAAAATCAGGTTAATATGAGGTTTAAAGCCACCAAGGTCAACCTTAGAGCAGATGACATGGTTACCATTAACCTTCGACAAAAAAAATTGTGTTCTCTCAATAGGGCAATGGGTAGAGTGTCAGACCAGAGCGTGGGAGACCAGGGTTTGAGTCTGATAGGGACACAAAAAATTTATTACAGTATCTTTTGTTTATTTACACATTTATTGTCATTGATATATTAACCCACTAGGGGGCACTGTAGGGATAGTCTGAAGCCTAGAAGGCACAGTAGGGACCCTCTGAAGCCATTGTATGGGACTGATAACGCCTAATAATGTCCATTTAATGGACTGATAACATCAGAATCCCCTGCTCTGACTCTGGATTGGATGCTTTCACTGGGAGGAGGGGTCTGAAGGGTCCTGGTCACAGAGGGCAGGTGCACAGAAAGGTTTCTTGTCGTGTCTTACCTGTCTGAAGATATGGATGTCTTGGCTGCGGGTGATCAGGTGGGCGTTCTTAGCCGTGCATGTGGCCGTTTCAAGCTTGTCTCCTGTCAGCATCCAGACCTGGAGAAAGACAGGAGATGACAAGTAGCTGAGATGATATTTTGATTTAATTTAACTCTTTAAATTCCCTATAGGAGCACACAACACCTGCAACCTTTCATGCCAGAGTTTTAGACACAGATCTTATTTTGGTGAGAACTGATGTCACTATAGAAAGCTTAGTTAAACCATACTGAGGTCTCAGAGTATATGATGAACATGACTCACAGATGGTAATGACTAAATGTGTAGTAGTCTACACCAAACCTGAGCTCAATACTTGTAAGCTTAGCTGAGTTATGGTAATATCAGTGTGCTCTATTTTCAATGAGGTCAACCCTAAAAGTTAATTAGTTGTACACATTGGTTTCTCACAGTAAAATTCCAGCACTTTTCAGGCATTTTCAAGGTGAATTGTCAAACTTTTCCAGCATCCAACTTCAGAGCAGTTTGTATCTCTGTGCACCTTTCTTCACTGAGCTTTCTAACCACAGAACACACAGCATTCCCTAAGTGAAGACAACCTATCAACTATCTGAAACACTGTGCAGCTGAAAACAATCCTGCAAGTATTAATATGAGCTGGATAAATAGATCAGAGGTACACATGGCTGAACACTGCCAAACCATGGCTACTTCTTGTGTAATTAAAAAATTAGCTAACCATCTTTACTAGTGTTTTTGATAAAAATGTTGTATTGTTGCACATTTTAAAGTACAGCCACCTTGAGGGCCTCAAAAGAACAACAGTTTTTAACTTTGGGCCACAGAGGGCCGTGGGACCACGTTGATTTTTAATAAGGTGTAATACACTT